AGAATAAATAAGGAGAAACTGTTTCCTCTGTCAGATGGGTTGGTAACCAGAGGACACAGATTTAAGATAATTGCCAAGAGAACACGCGGAGGTTAAGACACATTTTTTTTTACGCACCACGTTGTTCTGATCTGGAATGCACTGCCTGAAAGGGCTTTGGAAGCAGATTTAATAATAACTTTCCAAAGGGAATTGGATAGGTACTTGAAAAGGAAAAAAAATGACAAGGCTATGGGGTAAGATTGGGGGAGTGGGACTGAATGGGCTGATTCAACGATGGACTGAATGGCCTCCTTCTGTGCTGTAAGATTCTATGATTCCATTATTCATCCATCGGGTTAAAACCAGAGAAATATACAGCACAGAAGAAAGACAGTTGGCCTATCCCTTTAAGAGCGATCTTTACTTACCACTTACCTGCCTTCTCCCCTATACCTTTGCAATCAATGCTTTTTTAAGGTTAAAAGTGCTTTTTTTCCCCCACCCAGCCACCCGTTCCGTTAAGGAAAAGAGAAAGATGTCGATTATTTCTTTTTTGGTAAAAAAACGGGTCTCAAACAGAATTTCTCTTTGCCTTTGTTCTAAAGTTAAAGCGAAATGCCACAAGGATCCAATGGAACAGATAATGCCCTCTCCCACCTTAATTACCTCCGTTCAATAACCGTAATTAAAGGTTCCTTTGACAGAAGAAAGGCAAAGGTGTAAGAATAGACCAAGTTATGTGGAGTCTTCCCCCGCCCCCAATCTCCCTCCTCCCCTCCCCACCACCAACTACCGAAGCAATTAAAAACCCTTCCAGGAATGTCACAATTTAAACTTATCATTCATTTGTAACCTAAACTGGAATCTGTCAGCATGGCTGTAGAGTCCAGTGTTGGAAAGTGAGAAGCTTTGTATTGTCCAGAGGATTCTTTGAAGAAAATGTAGAACAGAAGAAGCTTCAGTATCAAAGTCACAGTCTGGCAAGTCTTATACTTTCACACCCCTATTTAGGATTACTGCAGCATCCCAAATTTGTTGGCAGGAGATGCGGGGAATAATAATAATGATAGTAATAATTCTTGCATTTGATACAGCGCCTTATCATGTCATTGAGACGTCTCAAAGCACTTCACAGAATACACTGTAAAGTGGATTGACTGTGTATTTTGTGGGCGAAATGCAGCAGCCAATTGCGCACAGTAGCGTTCCCACAAACAGTAATGGATTGAGGGACCAATTTTTTTTTTGGAGGGATTATGACCTCCTGAAAGCGATCTGCCAATCGATTAACAACCAGGCTCCGACTGACTGCAAGGTAAACAGAGGCCTGCGGAGTAAGCAAACTTACCTAAGGTTTCACCCTGCCTGGGAATTGAACCCGTGTCCTCTCGCTTGTCTAATTTATGAAAGGCAAGCGATTTCTTGTGGCTTAATGCATGGGATCTAATTTTGGCTTAGTTGGTAATTATGGGTTTGGGTTGTGCTCAGACCAACTTAATCTGTGCAATTTAGTAAAGTTTTGACTGAACTTAATGTGACTTCTCTGTGTTTGGCCCAACCCCTGATGGTGAATTATACAGTCACATTCAAGAGAAACTTCACATGTGAAGTAACCAGCACTGGTCAGCTCAAATAACATTCCCTTGTCTTTTAATTTGAATAAGACTTTCGAAGCCCATTTGTTTTACCGTATGCTAGAAACTCACTGTTGGCAAACAAAGTATTGGTGTATCTAACACTGCCTAGAGAGAGAGGTGACTTTGAACAACTGCATTTGGGGTACTGTGTACAGGGTTGAAACTTACGTTTCAGACTTTGGTTGAAGCCAGTAGAGCAACAGGTGAAGTGGGGACACAGCTATGAGGAAAAGACGGTCAAAGATTATGATCTTACGGCTCAGACACCTTCCTCCGTGACGGGCAAATTTCAGCACAACAAGATAGTCGTGAGGGTAAAAATTTCCACGTCGCTTAACACAGAGTTGATAACATGCAACTACAGGTGGCCACATTTATAACTGGATAAATGTTCTGATGAACAGGTCGACCTGGACTGAAACGTTAACTCGCTTTCCTATCTCCATAGATGCTGCCTGACCTGCTCGCTGAGCGTTCCCCAGCGACTTCTACTTTTTTTATTTTGGATTTCTAGCAACTGCGGTATTTCGCCTTTTCTTTCATAACTGTATCGTTCGGTATAGTTACAGGCTCTGGCGCTGAGGTTAACGCTGAAACAGAGTTTTCCAAACCCCCTTAATCATCGAAGCAAGAACAAAGGAGAACAGAAAGCTGGTAAGAGCCATGAGTCCTGGTAAGAGCCATGAGAGACGGGACAGTCTAGTTCTGAGATAGTTACCGTGTTACACACGCCTTGAGTGAGCTGTCGCTCTTAGGCTGTCTGTAATGTCCTTTTCAAGCATTTTGCACAGAATTTCGGTTGATTTCAGATGGAACCTAACTTTTGATCGCAGAAATACTTTTGTTCCCCCCGCACCGCTCCCCTCCTCCACACACACATACCCCCACACACCAACCACCCCCCCACCAACACCCCCCACCCCCACCACCACTCCGCACAAACTCAATCCCGTCATATTTTATTACAAAAGGAATCGCTTTTAGCGTTCAGAAAAAAAAATGATCTTGCTCTTTGATGCGTAGAGCAGATATTGGAGTTATTTGGCCTGAGGTTTATTAGCTTTGGTTCTGTGTTTAATGTTTGGCAGGCTGTAATTTCATGCCTCAATAGTCCCAAACAACACACGCTTCCATTTACCCCAGGCTGAATATCTGCAACTTTTTCTCTTCTAGTGACCTGTCAAATCCCAGACCCTGCTGTACAGTCACCACTCACAATAATACTGTCCAAGACGCCGTAACCAAAGTGTATGATGGAAGGAGGCATTACTGAACTCTCCTTTAAGAGTGAAACCTCTCTGTTCTATGCTTCCATTGAAAGCTGGAGCCAATGACCCGTTAGACTCTGGGTCCCAAGTCTGAAATTGACGTGCTATGTCAATGTCAGACTGGGACCTCAAGAGCTTCCTCTTCGACTGCGCCTTCGGTCACCCTCCTACCCCCCACCCTCCCTGCTCTGCACCCCTTCTGATCCCGACCACCAGCTCGGGTGCACATCTTTGACTGTCCGGTGCTTTGGGGCGTCCGCCCGACGTGAAAGGCGCTGTACAAATGTAATTTGCTGTTGTTGTTGCTGTTGCATTTCTAAAGACCTCGGGCCCCTCTGACTCAAATTAAACCATTGTAGGTTTAACTCTGAGTTACCTTGCTGCTGCCTCTGTCGCCCGGAGTCACAGCGCAGAGATCAAGAGTCACATTTACTCGGTGTGACAGCCTCAGGCAGAGAGCGGAGAAGTTTCATATTAGCCTGACATGAGCATTGGAAAGGAGGCACCGTCAGTGCACACTGGGCATTGTGATCAGGACATCTAGAATATCTCTCCCTACAGCAGGCACCAAATTCCACCTCATCTTAACCTGTAAGACCGCTCTGTCTTCAAATTTAAAGACAAAGAGTTTAAAGTGTTTCGCCCACAAATACAAGGTCAATCCCCTTTTACAGTACACCCCCGAGAAGCGCTTAGAGTTGTCTCAACGACGTGATAAGGCGCAACATCAAAAGCAAGGATTGCTGTTATTCCTATTTAAGATCGCGCAGAATTGTGTAAAGTTCTTAAATTCAGCCGTAACTTGGCGGCATCTTCGATTTACAGACGAAGCGAGCTTACAGGCTAAGGCCGGGTGGAATTTAAGGGCCAGCACCTCTCGGACGGCTCCTCGTCGATAGAGAAGGTCTGTCTGCTGTTTTCCATTTTATACCATTATAAGGAGAAGGGTTAATGCCTGCCCTCGAAACTCCTTGGGAAACTCATAGCCTCAACCAAACACAACCACTCCAATTGTTTTGCCCACTTCAGCCCAGATTTGTGACTTGGTTCCCCCAAAAAATCTCTTTGAAATCCCATAACTTCCAATAGCATTAACAACTCGCATCTATGTAGCACCCTTCACTCAGGGTAGGGTCCCAGAGCGCTGGCGATTTGGTTACCCATGGGTGCGCCATTGTTTCTCTGCTTCCTCACATAACCAACTCCTCACCTCTATGAAGTGTATTCCCAACGCAATGGAGAGGCAATTGAGAGTCCGTTAACCCCATCCCCCTCCCAATTCCTGCCATCACCACACACGCACACACATGCACACGCACGCATCTCCAGTTCCAGACCAAGCGCGGGAAAAATCTGGGAGGTGATGGTCACCCAGACCAAACGACCCAAAACAAACAGAAATAATCCCAAAACACGTGAGGGAAGAAAATAAGAAATGAAAAAAAACAGTCTTGCAAAGGCACAGTTACGCCTGTTTTGGGGCTCGCTTCTTCGAGGCCCTGTTAAAAGCAACTAAACTTTGGGGTTTAGTTAAACGGAACAGAACTTGAGACCCAGACACCAGAAACTCTAGTGACCATCTCCCTCTCACTCGGCATGTATTTGCTTCGAGTTGGGGGAGGGAAGGGGAGAGGGGAGGAGGGTGGTGGGGGTGGGGGGGGGGATACGTTTTTTTTTAAAAAGCACAAGGATAATTCTGACATTCTCTAACCGATGCTGTAACAGAGCCACGGAGGCCTGGAGCTAACACAGAGACTTTTCAGTTCATCGTTTCCATTAGCTGACACATGAGCAAACTATTTGAACGTGTCTTTGGTTTTGAATGCGTCTGGGGCTCTCTGTTGATTTCACAGTGATGGCCTTGCAAGAGGCTTGCCAGGCTCAACGGAACTGTCCTTTACAGCAGTCAGCAGCTTCGAGAGTAGCTCCGAGCGACCCTCTATCTCTGTCCACCTACAGCGCTCGCCAGTTAGCTAAACGACAGTCAGACAGACACGTTCCTTGTCACCCACAGTCGACACCCAATTAAGAGACTGTTGAGAAGTGAGTCCGGTGGGGGGGGGGGGGGGGGCTTGAATGATCATTGCATGACTTGGACAGTGATCTAAGCTGCGAAAATCTCCCAGTTGGAGGGACAAAAAACATTGTCAGACTCCATCAGGCTTTGCCCAGAAGTTAAGTGGATCTTCCGATCCTTGGCAGAGTCCGACTAGAACCAGGCCAATACATGGCATTGCTCCAGCTCAGCGTCAGGCTCCTTACTGAATGGTGTAAGGCCACAGGGCACTCTGGTTGCTGAAACCTGGTTGCTTCGTTGACGGGATGGCTTTTGCATACGACAAAGAGCTTGAGTGTGCGTTTGTATTTGCGTGCGTGTGTGTGTGTGTACGTGTCTAATGTGAAGTGCTGAATCCAGTGGCCCTTAAAGCCACCCTCAGACTGAGCTATCAAAGTGCTGGATGTTGCAACTCAAAGTGTTATTGAAAGTGGCTTCAATGCTGAAGACCAAGTGGTGTTCGTTCTCAAGGGCAGGTCTCCATCACCGCCAGGAGTTAGTCTCCCACCAGAGGACTTCGATCGCCTTGTTGCTCCTTCAGCTTTTTCTTGAAGAACAAAATGGTGGAGGGTTTGTACGTGATCACCCAGGGTTCCGATGGGGACGACTGGCTGCAGTCCTCCGAGCTGTCCTGAGCAGGAATTCGACGAGACCTAAAAACAATCACAAGAACAGATTGGAGGAATGTCCCAAGCAAGGCCCCGAGAGAAAGAATGGATCGCTTAGCCACCACTGACATTCTTTAGCTTCAATTACTCAAAGACTTGCTATAGTTTCGTTGAATTGATTCCAGCCTGGCCCGCGTCACACCATGAGAACATAAGAATTTGCTGACGAAAGAAGACCAAGGTCCATCTAGTTCGCCTTCCACCCAGTCGCTTGACACGTCGTGTCCCAAACTCTACACTGAGATATTATTTTCTAGCAGAAATCAGCTAATTGGGCACAGCAGAATCCCACATACAGTCGCGGATTGAGTGACCAAATCAATTTTTTTTTTTTTGGAGGGATTATTAACCCCGGAAAGCAATCCGCCAATCGACTGACAACCGTGTTCCTATTTACTGCTAGGTAAACAGAGGTACGTGGAGTAAGGAGACTTGGGAATCGAACCCGGGTCCTCTCCCTTGCGAGGAGAGTGCTCCAACCACTACGCTACGGGACTCCTGAATTCCAAATGCCTTTAAAACCGCGAGCACCGTCTGGCAATCCTCAGGCGGGTGTTTACGCCCTCAGTGCAATTGGCAGAGGTCTCGTCACGTTTGTTCCCAGGGCGTTTTTGTTTGCGAGTCCAAACTTCTTCGACGGATTCAAAAGGCCTACCGCGCCGCTTTAGCGGGTATAATTATAAGCTGCCAACCTGCCCAGTCCCCTTAAGACTCGATTAAGACGCCGATTTCAGAGATGGGAGCGAGGAAACCAGGCGTTGTCATGGAAACCGCCGAGGCATGCTCAATCGCCAGCCCAGTTCCCCAGGCCGTTCTCAGACGGGAGAGTATTGTCAACCCGCGCGACCTTTTGCATTTCTTTTCTTGCGGCGAGAGGGAGTTACAGCACAACCAGCCTTTCCGCACCCCACGCTTTTAAGGCGGCCTCTTCAACCTAAAATGCCCACAGCAAACATGTCGGCTTTTTCTGAGTCGCTCCACAAGTTGCAGATTATTCAGATCTCTGCAGCTCGTGTCCTCTTCCCGCACCGAGCGCTCTGAACCTTTCGCACCCCCGTCCCGTCCGCTCAGCAGGCTCGCTCCGGCCTTTAGTCATTCTCCTACCCCTACCCGCCCTGCCCTCCACCCCTCCCGATCCCAAACCCCTGCTCGGGCCCAAATTATTATTATTATTATTATATACGCTTTTAACCCTTACGATTTTTGTCCATAACAATAATAGTACCCTAAAGTAGTAGTAATTCCCCCCAACCTTATTTAACTACCACCCCCCACCCGCCCCCATCACCATTATATCACCCCCGGATGCTTTAAGACGTTCTCTGACATGAAAGGTGCTATATAATGTAAAACTTTTATTGTCCTAACAACTAGTAATTCTTGCATTTGGATAGAGGGCCTTTCACGTCGGGAGGATATCTGAAAGCACTTTGTGGGATGTACGTGACCAGGCGTTGCATTGAATGCAAGGATTATTATTTAGATATATCACGAGTTAGTACTTGATTGGGTATATTACTAGTAAAACTAAATTTAATTCAATTGAAAAAGATAATCTTATATAAAACATAATCAAATCACACAGTTTGAATGCAGCGTTTGTCTCGAGACTGAACTGTGGATTCACATGGAAAAGAAGACGAAAGAAGACGAAAAGTACAAGTACTATATTTGAAATGTAAATTAATTTCTCTTTAGACGTACTCATTCCTTAAGTTAACTCTTAAACTTGTTTGTTAATTGGGGGGGGGGGGGGGGGAAGGGGCTCTGAGTGTGAGTCTTACTTAAGAAAGTCTTTAAAACAGCAAGTTAATCCCATATGGAGTCCTGCAGCGTATTGGTGGGAACACTCGCCTCACCAAGCGAGAGGTCCTGGGTTTGATTCCCGGGCAGGGCAAAACCTTAAGCAACTTTCCTTACTCCACATCCCTCTGTTTGCCTAGCGGTAAATAGGAACCCTGTTGTTAGTCAATTGGCGGATTGCTTTCCGGGGGTAATATTCCCTTCAAAAATTCAAAATAATATTAATTTGGTCACTCAATCCACGACTGTTTGCGGGACACTGCTGTGCGCAATTGGCTGCTGCATTTCTCTCACAAAATATACAGTCGATTCTGTGAAGTGCTTCGAGAGATGGTCTCAATGATGTGATAAGGCGCTATATCAAATTCAAGGATTATTATTATTAATCCTAAAAGCTTCTCCCATTTAAGTAGGAGAAATAAGACAAGCTGTAGAACCAGCTGTAGCAACTATTGTTCCAATTTATCTTTTTTAAAAAAGCAAATAGAAATGACAGGCCTTTTAGAAATATAGGAATCTATCATAAAGGATGGAATTCTATGCACATTTACAGGGAGAAATCCCTCCTAGATTTACCTAGATTTGGGGGCATTTTAAAGCGTCCAGAATTTGACAGATTCTTGAATCCAAGACTTAATTGTGAAGCCAGGGTTCTGTAAGTTTCTTTTTAAGTAACTGCAGAAAAGCCACTTCAAAGCCACGACTGAATTCGACAATTTGCCAAGTTCTGGACACGCTAAAATGCTACGTAAATAGTTCCCAGGTGGAATCTTTCCTCGTTAATGAGCTAAAGGCACCGCAAGTCGATTCAAGTCTTCTGCGAAGCAAGTCATGCCTGAGAAATGCATTAGAAGTCGATGAGAATGTCACAGAGTTGGTGGATGGTAGTCAGTATGTTAGACATCTAGACGTCCCGAAGGCAATTCATAATGAAATTCTCTCCCCAACCCTCACCCTGTGCCTTTCTGACCAGCTGGCTTGGTGAATCTGGGGACAGTGTATAGCAACTGTTTATTTGTAGGAAAACACAGCAGCCAATTTGCACATAGCAATATCCCACAGACAGTCATTAAATGAATGAGTTTTTTACTGGTGGATTGTTGGTCAGGACACTGGGAGAAACTCTCTCCTCTTTTTTACGGGATTTTTAACGGCCATTTGAACAGGCAGACGGGACCTCGGTTTAATGTCTTATCCAAAGGACGGCACCTCCGACAATGCAGCGATTTCCCCCCTCCCCCCCCCCCCCAAGCGCTGTGATGAAGTGTCAGCCTAGACGGTTTGCTCAAAGTCCCCCTCAATGTGGGGCTTGAACCCACAACCTTCTGGCTCAGAGGTGGCAGTGCTACCGACTGAGCCGGGCGGACACCCGAACGGTCTGTCTCAAAGCTCGCTGTGATCTTCCCTGATCTTCTCGTCATCCATTGCTCTGGATGTTTATTTGTAGCTGGATAGAGATTCAGTTTGAAACGTTGAAAGCAACATCTGCAAAAAGCAGCAAACCACCGCTATCACTGGAGTAACATCTCAAACAATAACGACAACAACAAATTACATTTGTACAGCGCCTTTCACGTCAGGAGAACGTCCCAATGCGCTGGACGGTCAAGTAGGGCGGGGGTAGGAGTGTGACCGGAGGCGCGGTCGAAGAGGAGGGTCTTGAGGCCCTCAAGACTGTGGGATCGAGTGCCAAAGGGTGGGGGCAGAAAGGCAGGAGCTGGGCAGCCCCTAAAGCTGCAGCGATGGGAAATGTTACGCAGTGTTCAAGGTGAGGTCTGACCAGAGCTGTAAATTAAATCAGGGACATTTTTTACACTTTCTGCATTTTTTCCAACTGGATTGTCTACTGTTTGCTGCTTGGACAGACGTCACCAAACACTAAGTGGGATTGCCTAAAGAGGCATCAAAAATGCTTTCATCGCTGCTCATTAATTGCTGGCTGGGGGGGAACAGTATCCAATGAGCGATGATTTGCAGCCTGCAAAAAGAGAATCTTAGCCCAAGATTATAGCAAAAGCCTTACAGACCGTGGTCTTCAGGGTTTGAGGACCGGAGGTGATTTGAGGCGTAACCGCAGTGACCAGAACTTTGATCAAAGAGAACACATTCTCAGCACGTTCGCGGATCAATGCCCTTCTCCACCTGCAAACCGCAGGCCAGAAACTTGCTCGATACAGGTTAAGTCTAAAAAATGTATAACAATAATACTAATGATAAAATAATAATCCTTGCATTTGATACAGAGCCTTATCACGTCGTCGAGACGTCTCAAAGCGCTTCACAGGACATACTGTATCGTGGTGTGACTTTGTACATTTTGTTGTACAAATAGTAAAGCCCTTCACGCAGGGTATCTCAGAGAGCTTAACAGTGGTGGAGCCTGATGCTGAGCGGGTAGTGGGAGAGGAGGTGGGGGGGCAAATCTATTATTTCTAGCTGCTACTGAACACCTCAGACCACACTGACCACTGAACCGCCTGTAAAGGAACACTCAAACCCTTAGATCAACGGCAACTTACAAGAAGAGCTGATTGCCGGGTAGACAAAGCAAGGTCTTTTTCTCTGAAAGGACTGCGCCGGGCAGACAGTCTGTATAAACCAGACCGTACGATCATCGCAACCTCAGTGACCCCCCCCCCCACCGCCAGCCCACCTCACCCCATCAAATACATATTTCGGTAAATAAGAACTGCTGTGCTTCCGAGGATATCTGTCCACAATTATGAGCAATCTAGTGCCTGGTTTCTCCTCCAGAGGCTGGGACACGCTGGAATTTCAAATATGCTAATAAAAGCAAGGGGACTTCTGGCTATGATCCTCAGCATTAGAGGAATGAGCTGTGTAGCAACAATTAGGGAAGCCAGACACTCTTCAGTCTTAGGAGAAGAGGGGACTTAGAGGGGACCTCATCGAAGCATCCGACATCTTAAATGGGATTGAACAAGTAAACCCAGATCAATGCTTTAGGAGATATAAGACAGTCGGACAAGGATGACAGGGGTTTAGAGTTGTAAAGAGCAATTTCAGGACAGGCACCAGGAAGTTTTTCTTTCCGCAGAGAATAATCAATGACTGACTTAGAACAGGGTGATATCAAACCGAGCTCCCCGCCTGTCTCTTCAGGCAGATGTTAAAGAAGTAAAAGGCCTGCTCCGTGCCTCCCGCCCGATCTGCCCTACCAT